CGATTTTGTGCTTTGGCGCCAGCAAACTGAAAGATTCGCGCGACTGACAAGTTTTTGTGACAAAATTTTACTCGCAAAAAATATATAAATCGTGTCTGCAAGTTATTGAAAATTGCATTCATTGCGCAATATTTGTTCCAGCAACATAATTATAACAATTTTAATTTTTTAAAATAAAATAATAAATAATAAAATAAAAAATATTTTTATGAAATAAAATGTTGCTATATGTACGTATGTACATTTGTGTACATTAGCGTGTACGTGCACATGCTTTCACTATTTTCATTTTTCATTAGTGGATTTAAAAAAAATCAGCTATCGTATACTTTCGCTTCGACACGCGTAGATTTTCCAACCGCCTATCTCTGAATGCACCGACGATTAACTTCATAAAATATCGCAACAGTGATAATGCGCTCTCGGCTGTAGGAAACGGCGAAAGAGAGAAAAAACAAAGTGATCCGACGGGTTTGTAAGCCGCGACTTCTGAACAATCCGCAAAAATAAACGTGCGTGCATACATCAAATTTATATTGCAAATGCCATTATATTTGAAGCATTCCGCGAGCCTTTTAAGTTCATGGTATGTGTTTGTCCATTAAATTAAAGTATTCGCGTTCGCGCACTGATATTACGGTTTTCAGGAATTATTTGGAAGATCGATGCAGATCGATGCAGATCGATGCGATTTGAAATGACAGTAACTCCTTTGGAGAATTTGCGAAAAGCTGATATTATCCAGTTGTTTACGAAAGTGCGAAAAGCGTGATTACACTTCACGATGTGTCTGTAATAATGCATTAAAATAGTTTTCCTGAAATTCAGTTGTAAAATTTCACTAAGCTCCGAAAAAATTGATAAATAATAAATCTTCCTTCTGACTGTGGTGCCGCGATAAGCATTAAATTGCTCACGATGCATTTCGCATTCGTTCGAAACGAAAAACCGGTTTAAGCCATTTAAATCGTGCTTTCGTGTGTCGGATCGAGATTTGCATGAGGAAATTTTTCTCCTTTTCTTCGTCAAACATTATCGGACTCTGTGATAAAGGCAGACAACGTATCGCCGGCGCAACACCGTATAAATCCACCACGTGTAGATAATATTTCACAATGCATTATTCAGATTTTTCACAAAGCTTTATATGCTTCGCGGGGAAGCCCTTTAGACATCGCGGAGTAGATACTCGCTCGTGTAAAAAACACGTGACGTTACGTTGCGTTTATTTACGAGTCGGCACGCGAGAGGATTCCTATTACCCCCGATTATTATCGGTCAAGTACCCTGATCATCGACACGAGAGAAACATGTGATCTTATCAAATAATTGAAAAACTGCACAATCACACTTGGGAGGAGAGATACGGTCTCCGTATCACTGGGATCGAACTGATGATTTTGAAGAGACGAAATTAGAATTCGCTCTTCGTTTAACTAAATGTGCAGGGAGCTCTTCTTTCACTAAAAGTTATGTCTCATTATGTTGTTTCGTTTTATATGAATTATATGAATTATATTTTAATAACGCTGGAAACTGTAAAAGTGAAATTATTTAATATTAAAAAATTTTATTAAAATGCAGAGTTTATTCATGAAAATATTATAAATCAGTCAGCGTGATAAACACATTTGTTGCGATTTGTTATTATTTGTTGTTATTTGTGCGGACAAATATAGATATTAATACATTAAAAGTTAAATATAAATTAAATAAATTCTATTTCGACATAATGATTTATACACGAACGATGTTGTTCAAATAATGATAATGTTTTACTTGCTTTCACTTTTACATTATCGCGAATTAATTTTATTTTAATTAATAAATTATACCAACGAGGGCGAAAAGATAATTTGTATTCACATAGAATGGCACACCGTGATTTATACAGGACACAATGTGGATATAAGGAATAATCTGGCGAGCCCCCTCCGTTGTATGTTAAATCGAAAGATATTCGAGGGTTGGACCCTTTCAACGAACATTTACCAATGTTTATTGGAGGGGACCGAATAAAAGATACGATACTACTAAAAGCGACGAGTCTCCTTTATTTTTCCGACTGTAATACGGGATATTTGCTCGCTCGCATTCCTCGGCACGTGCCATTAACGCCGACAGGAATTTCTGTCTGCGCGATCTCTCCTCCGCGACGAGGGAAAGGAAAAACCAGCTGGCAATATGCAGATGAGTATATATACGGGTATGTACCTGATAGCGTCGGATTCGTCGCGGACGAGGAGCCGTCCTGGCGCATGGCGTCACTGGTAATTGCCGTGCCGCCGAGATTGGTGCTGTAGTCTTCGAGAAGTACGCAGCACAGTAATAGCCGTGCCACCCTCATTCTGAAAGAACGAAAGAAAAGCTGAACGAGAATAACAAACCCGCGTTCCCTGTCAACTTGTATTTCCTCCCCCCCCC